TTGATCTCTGTATTTATTGAAAATTGATTTGTGGGCCTCCCCGGTGGCGCAGGGGGTTGAGCGTCGCGCTGTGAAGGTGTCCGCAGCCTCTGCATGCGGGTTCAATTCCCGGCTGGCCAGGGAGAAACCCACATGGCAAGCAGACCTTGCCTGTCTCGCCCGTGCTCCGCTCAGCAATGTCCTTGGTCCGTCTGCCCGTTCTGCTCCCCGCTCTATTTCTGGTGAATTCTCTCACCCACCCGTGCCTCTGACTGTACCCCAGTTCTTGTATAAATAAATTTTAAAAATCTTTAAAAAAAGAAAGAAAATTGATTTGTGTCCCAATATAGTCTATTCTTGAAATGCACTTGAAGAAAATGTGTATCCTGTGGTTTTGGGGGTTGTCTATATGTGTCTGTTGAATCTATTGGTCTAACTCCTTACTGAAGGCTATTGTTTCCTTATTTATTTTTTTAAAGATATTTTTTAAGAGTTTTTTTTTTTTAAGATTTATTTATTTATTTATACAAGCACTGGGTATAGTCAGAAGCGCGAGAGGGTGAGAGAATTCACCAGAGCCAGAGGGGAGAGCAGAGGAGGCAGACTGACGAAGTACACTGCTGAGGGGAGCAGCGGGCGGCAGGAGAGGTCTGCATGCCATGCGGGGCCCTCACCCGGCGGCCGGGGATCGAACTGGCGCTGCAGAGACTGCGGGCAGCTTTGCAACCCAACGCTCAACCACTGTGTCACCAGGGAGGCCCTCCTTATTTATTCTTTCTTATTTGTCCATAGTTGTAAATGGGTTATTAAAAATTCCCCAGTGTTATCACTGTTGTCACTATTTTTTTTTAGTTCTCTCATTAAATGTCTTTGGCATCTTGGTGCTCCATTATTTGATGCATGTTTTTCATGTTGTAATGGACACAATCATAATGTCTCTTTTCCTTTTTTGAGTGGAAGTCTATTTTATCCATCATTAAGTATAGTTCCTGATTTTTTTAAATTTCTATTTAAAAACTGTCCTCCAGTTTTCAACTCCGTGCTTAGTTGGTAAGGTGGGTTCCTTGTAAACAGTAGAAACTTGGATTTTCTTTTGAAATTCACTCACCCACTCTACCTTTTGTTGAATTCAAGCCATTTCCACTTAAGATTATTAAAACATTAATTTTATTTTCTGAGACCTTATGTTTTGTTGAGGTTTTGTTTTACATTGTCTTGTTATTTCTATTGCTATTCAGTTCTGCTGAGGTTTATAACAGACTGTTCGTGTGAGCAGTTCCACATTCTGGTATCTGATACATCTGATGGAATACACTGTTATTCTTTTCCTTTGCTGTTACATGACCTGGGTGTTTATTACCTCCATGTCCATTGTCCTTTAGCTTTATAATAACCCTTTAAGACTTCATATTTGCCTTTGTGTTTACACATTTTTTGTTTTAGCTTTTCAGTGAAGCTCGTTACTCTTCTGTCTTAAAGGTTTCCAGCCTGGAATCCTTTATCCTGAAAGATTACAATTTAAGAACTTTAAATATCTCCAGCCAATCTTCATGTTTGTAACATTTCTACTGGGAAGTCCACTGACAATATGATTGATGTTTTCATATTTTTAGTATTCTGTCCTTGTATTTCAACAGCTTTGTTAAAATGTGTGTTGGTGTGTCTATGTGGTATTTTGTTTGGGACTCTTCGGGTCTCTTGGATCACAGCATTTGGTTTATTTCCCAGATTGAGATGGTTTTCCACAATTATTTCTTTAAATAAATTTCCATGTCTTCCTCTTCTCCTGAGATGCCTGTAATACACATTATTTCTCTGTAGGTTAACCAAAACCACTCTTACAGTATTCTCATTTGTTTTGATTCTTTTTTCAGTTTTGTGTCTCCAACACTGTTTGAAGCTCATTCATCTTCTATAATGCTTCCTTTGGCCTGCTGTCAAGAGCCTCAGTAGTAATTTTTTTGATTCTGACACAGTATTTCTTAGTTTCATTACTCCTAATTTTACTGCCTCATTTTTTCTTGGTCTTTATCCTGTCGCTGTTTTATATTCCTGTAGGAGCAGGCAGGCAAGAGTGCCTTCTCTGGTTCTCCTTAATGGAATCCTAGCCTGTGTAGAAGGTCACAGTTCTTCCCCTTGGGGTTTGCCCTGAGCCAAGGGTGTGGGACTCCACTCTATCTCTACTCTCACCTCAAGAAATGTATTTGAGCTGGCAGCCCAGCTATCAGTTTCCTGTAAACTGCTGGCCCCACATGTCCCATTCTTACCACCTTCCAGCGCGCGAGTGTGTAGCTCTGCCAGTGTCCCTTCTAACTTAGTCAATACCGGTCTCTGAGGGCCGGGGGTGCTTCAGACTCACCCCTGTTCTGTAGAATTCTCGTATTCTTGAATGGTTGTTAGCTGTTCCACTTGTGAGAAAAGCAAAGCAAAGAATGATCTATATCACTGCCTTGGTGATGTCACGCCTATGGTGCTTCTAATTTTTTTGAGAAATCATCATACTGTTTTTCATAGTGGCCGCTCCAATTTACATTCCCACCAACAGCGTGCAGGGGTTTCCTGCCACCACATCCTCACTGACTCGTAATTCCTTGTCTTTTTTCTAGTCTTTTTGACAAGTGTCGGGCATGGTTTTGATCTGTATTTCCTTATTAGTGATGCTGAAAATCCTTTCACATGCTTCCTAGTAATCTGTTTGTCCTCTTTGGAAAAATGTCTTTCTATCCTTGCCAGTATTTAGTTGGATTTTTTGTTGTTGGGTTGTATGTTTTCTTTATATACTGTGAAATTAACCCCTTATCAGATGAATAATTTAAGTATCTTCTATATCGTAGGCTGCCTTTTCTCCTTTTAATGGGTTTCTTGGATGTGCTGAGATTTTTTAAAAATGGAGTCACATTTTTCTTGTTGCTTGTTCCCTTGTGCCTCCCCTTCTCACCAACCTGTCCCCCCTCCCTGGCCCCCCTGCATTGCTAAGCCTGATGCCAGGGAGCTTATTACCGCCTATGTTTTCTTCTGGAGATTTGATCATTTCAGGTCTTACAAGTCTTTGATCCAATTTGAGTTAATGTTTATGGTGTAAAACAGTGGTCCTGTTTCATTCTTTTACATGTGTCTGTCCAGTTTTCCCAACCTTATGTAGTGAAGCAACTGCCCTTCACCCGTTGTATTTGCTTCCCTTGTGGTAAAATTAATTCATCTTATGTGCATAGGTTTAATTCTGGGCTCTCTATTCTATTGCTCTGTGTGTGTGTACTCTAGTTTTACAGTATAATCTGAAATCAGAGGATGATGCCTCTGGCTTTTCTTTTAAATTTGCTTTTGCTATTTGAGTTGTTTTGTGGTTCCACACAAACTTCAGAACTATTTCTTCTATGAAAAATGCATTTGAGGGGCCTCCCTGGTGGTGCAAGGGGTTAAGCACAGCACTATGAAGCAATCCGCAGCCTCTGCAGCACAAGTTCGATCCCTGGCTGGCCAGGAAGCAACCCACATGGCACAGCAGACCTCTCCTGTCTCGCCCACTGCTCCCCTCAGCAGTGTTTTCTGTCTGCCTGCCTGTTCTGTTCCCCACTCTGTCTCTGGTGAATCCTCTCACCCTCCTGTGCTTCTGGCCTGTACCCCAACTCTTGTATGCATAAATAAATCTTTAAAAAAAAAAAAGAAATGCATTTGAAATTTTAGTAGGAATTGCACTGAATCTGTAGATTGCTTTGGGTAATAGACATTTTAACAATTCTAGTCCACAAGCATGAAATATCTTTTGTGTTTTCTTGAGTTTCATCAATGCTGTATGGTTTTCATTGTAAAGGTCTCTTACCTCCTTAGTTAAATTTATACTGAGCTATGTTTTTCTTTTTGAAGTGAACATAAATGGGATTTATTTCTGACAGTTACTAGTGTATAGAAATGCAACTGATCTTTATATATTTTCATCCTGCAACTTTGTTAAGTTCATTTAATAATTTTGGGATAATATGTTATCTGCAAATAGCCACAGTTTTACTTCTTTCCAATTTGGAAGCCTTTTTTTTCCCCCTTACTTATTGTTCTGGCTATGTTGAACAAAATTAGGGAGAATGTGATCCTTTTCTTGTTCCTGATGTTATCCCTTAGCTTTTTCATTTTTGAGCTCTTGTTCTCATATATGGCCTTAATTATGTTGAGATATATTCCTTCTATACTCACTTTGAGTTTTTAATCATAAATGGATGTTAAACTGAGATGATCATGTAAATTTGATCTTCCATGCTAATGAGGATGTAGCAGAATGGGACTGCTAAACATAGGAACTCTCAGTAGAATTCATTCATTGCTGGTAGGAACACAAAATGGGATAGCTACTTTGGGAAACAGTTTGGCACTTTTTCATAAAGCTTAGCATAGCGTTACCATGATTCAGTGATCACATTTAGGTTTACACAAAACTTGCAAGCAACCAAGATATCTTTTAAAAGGTGAATAATGGAAACTGTGGTATACATGGAAAATTAAATGATAAATGAGTTACTGAACCACAGAAAAGAATGTACTCTAACATTGGTGTCTAAGTGAAACTGTTACAAGGCATGATTACTACTATATGACATTCTGCAAAAGGCAAAAGCATGGGAACAGTGAAACAATAAGTGATTAGTAAGGATGGGGGCAAAGAGGAGGGATGAGTAAGTAACACAGGGGGCTTTCAGGGCAATGAGACGACTCTGTGTGGATCCGAACATCCGCAATTGGAATGGTGGATGCATTTGTCACCATCCACATAACAGAGGGTGACCATGCAATTCATGGACTGAATACTGCTTCACTGTTATAAAAGTATGGTACTAATGTAAACTGCTAACATAGGGAAGCTACGAAAGGCAGAAACTGTAGTATTAAACCAATGTTTTTATAAACATAAACCCATTCAAAAAATATCTTTTTAAAAAACATGCAAATTACTATAAAGCAATAGCTCAAAGAAAGTGGCAGCTATCAAAATCTTGCGTATGTTTCGGTTTCAAAATGCTCTTATCTTGCAGAGGCTGAATAAGCTGATATTATATGCTGTGGCGATGGAGAGAATGCACCGGTATCCGGCTACTGGTACACTAAACTGGGGTAAGTGCCTGTGAAAAAATTGCAAACTAGTTTTTCTATGTATTCAGACATCCTCTTGCTGCCTTCCCTCACCGTTCTACATAAGCACTGTTCCCAGCGTCCTTCACCACTGTCAGCACCAAAATCTACACTCAGTTCAATGAGCAAAAAGGGAGCATTCAGGAAACAAGAAGGTACAGTGAGGTTAGTTCTTACCCAATTAAATTCTAATGCTGAGTGGCTTTTCTTCCTGGCTCACCACAGTATCCCATTTGCTAGAATGACTTCTGATATTCTAGACAGCCCAGTCATTCACAAATAGCTTAAAAATTCCGTACATTTTCCAAAACTTACAATCTTTTCTGTTGAAAATAACATCAGACCAAACTAAGATAAAACTCTAACAAATAACATTTATTTTTCTTTTACATTTGTACTTCACAGTCCAAACATCACATCGCCTTCAGAGCAAAGTGCTTTTATGCCATTATATTTTACTATTTACTGCACAGGCATTAAACATTCTTCACATGAGACAATTTGCTGGTAAACATTTAAACACACAGACATTGGTTTCAATATCTCAAGAACATATTTTTTGGTCATTACCAAAGAAGTACATCAAAATATGACAACATTGGCCAGTATTTTACAAGCAAATAATATTTAACTCTGCATAGTTTATACAATAGGCTATGGTAATAAATAATCACCAATCTCATCAACTATTAACCGGCCACAAAAAGCCTAACATTCATTTTAATTATGATACATGAAATGCTCTATTGGTGTAGTTGGAACACAGCCTTAAAATGTGAGTGGTCAACCTTGAATATGTGAAAAGAATAGTACTAAATCAGCATGTTTCAGTTAACTACAAATGTCATGTCCACATAGTACATTCCTAACAGAAGGCAAATATTTAAATAGAAAAACCAGCGGTCAAAAAAAGCGAATGTGCAAATTGTGAGGAAAACATTGCATTTAAATTTGCACTCAATTTGCAAGTTACAGTACTAGCTTAGTAGAAACACTAACAGGAAAAGTATTTAGCAGGAAAGAATGGAAAAGACCTCTTGCGGCAGAGAACTAGTCGATGCACACTGCTCCGGAGCTTAAAATATTTCTGGTGGTCTAGAGCTTCTAACATGTTATGACTATCCTTCCTTCAACAAAAGAGACTGCATGCTTCAATCAGCGATAAGGATAGGGGTTAGGAAGAAAAACCTGAATCAACAACACTGTCTTCCTCCATTTGGTATAAAGGCCTTTCTTATTACTATAACTCACTAGTATGCTAACTTTTAACCTCAAATGTTTTCTGAATCAGGTTTGCTAGATGTTGTAAAGAATAGATACCCTTCATACATACTAGATTGATTTTTCTTTTTTTAGCATGTTAGCATGATAACAAGGTACATGCACTTTCATTTTACCAACTTGTACAGGCAATCTCAGCATAACACTCTGCTTAGATTGGACTCAAATTCTACAGAGATTCTCTGTATTGTTTTAAACGCAACTGCTTGGAAAGCAGAAATGCCTAATAATTAATGCAGTGTGTTTTTTTGTTTATAAAAATAAAGCCCCCATCTTTAAGTCTATAGAATGTCAAGAATTCTAGTAGGGATATTAAAAGCATTGGGCAAAACCCTCGTTTTCAGCGTGCCATCTGCCCCACAGGAAAAGATCCGATTGCCCTGGATGATGTCAATCTGCATCACTCCAGCCCCAATATTTCTGAATATGGACTGTTTAGCATGTTCGTGTTTAAATGAATGAATTAGGCCATGGCCTGTCAGTCTCCAAACCTAGTTTAAAAAAACAAAGGAATGAAAAGAAAATCATTAAGTCACTTAAAGGAAAAACAAAACAAAGCACAAGTGATTTAAATAGAGAACAACAGCATGGATTTAAGTCCAATCACTGCCTCTTTCCTCACTGGAAATAATAGTATTTACACAATTTACTTTCCGTACCTTTCACTGTCCCTACTTTTTGAAATTACTCTCTGTCCTCTTGTTTCATAATAACAATACATATCCCCTCTCTAATTAAATATTGATGTTAATTCAATTAAATACCTCCCTAATGGTAAGCTAGGCCCTGTAGCAATACCATCTCAATCTAGAAACCTCAGCTACCCAAAACAGGCACTGGGGGAAGTTCTGTTCTAAGGAGACAAAGTAATGTCGCACACAAAAGTAAGGGAAGATGAATGTCAAGAGGTATTTGATATCTGCACAAAGCTTCACAAACCACAGATAAAGAAAATACTTGGACATTCCCATTCTATTGTACTGACTCACCTTTATGTTACCTTCTGCTGAACCTGTAGTAAAATATTCCTCACAGGGATCCAGCGCCAGCGCTTTAATAGCCGAGTCATGTGCCTGGAATGTGTGAATTAGTTGTCTCTGCCTGATGTCAAAAATGCAGACATAGCCTTTCCTCCCTCCAGAGATTATAAGTTGCTGTTTGGGCGCATATTGAAGCACTGTGGCACCATGGTCATGGCATGTGAAACCTGAAGAGGAAAACAGCAAATGCCTTTCCCAAACAATTTCATCTCGGCAATTCTGATAAAAATTTAAATGCACATTTAATATAGAAATTACTGACTCATTCTAATTTCGAATATAATCAAAGTATTAAAAAATGCCAAGCAATGACAGAAAAGTCTTACACACAGGAAGTTTAAACTCTAAGCCCAAGCTAAGCTATATTGCCTCGTACGAGGTGTCAGTACAGAGAGCAAGCTTCTCAACTACACTCTCAGCCACCTCACTAATACCCACCACTGACCAGCAAGTACCCAAGGTCCGTTCCATACATAAACTCTCATCAGAAGTTCTCAGGTGAGTAACTGAAACTTAACGACACTAGTGTTGAAGATGACAAATTACAAGTTAAGGAATTATCTTTCCCAGGATTGTGCATTTTAAAGATTAAAGCCTTAAATATATGGAAAATCTTTGCGATGTTAACAATAACAATAGAAATGCATTTTAAAAACACAAATCTTCCTATAAAGAAAGCTGCTTAGCTTATTTAACCCAAACTTAAAAGAATGTAACACTTTTAGCAGCATTATGTGGAAAAGATATCTTTAGGATACTGTCTTAAACAAAACAAATACTTCAGTGGCATTGTTCATAGTTCTTATAATAGGTTAATTTTTGTTTTATAATCAGGTTTAATTTTTAAAAATGTCATTTGTATTGACTCAATGAATACTTTGTAATTAATAAATAGCCTATAACACTGCATTTTCTTGCTTAGAGTACAAAATAGACTCTTTTAGGATAGCTGACTCCAATTCTATGACCATACGTATTTGACTCAGCCAGGTCAGCAGCTAGACATTCTAGCTAAGCCAGGAAAGCATCCTTCAAAGGATAGTAAAAAAAAATCATAGACCTTAACTCACCATGAATGAGGCTGTTTCCAGGTGATATCAATGTGTCCCAGAGGCACACATTTCTTATAAAGAAACAAATACATCAAGCAATTATTCACAGTCATCACTAGGGGAAGATTGTATCTTCAAGTCAATTATTTTTACTTAAGGTAATTTTGTTGTTGTTCATTCCCATTTATAGAGCAGTGATTCAACTAGGAAGAGGATAGAGGCTGAATCTGGGAGTATATCTCTCCTAAGAGTCTATTCTTTCCAACTACACAGTTGTCTTATATGGTCTTGCCTGCCTCTACCCCTTCTCATCCCCCAGTTCTTGAGACCTGACTTAGTTTGTAACCACTGCAGGTGAAATTCATCCATAGGCATGTGTTGTCCATGGAAAGAAAATCTTGAGAATCATGGCTACAGAATGTCAAATGCTTGTTCTCAAACTCCTAACTTTTTGGTATTCCAAATGTAGAAAATCCTCTTAAATAGAAATCTAGACTTTATATTTTTACATCTTTCATTTTTGTACAATGTATGCATTCATCTTGGTTATAGTCCTACCATCCTTGTTTGATCCTATTCCCTTCTCCCCACCCCCTCTGCAGTGTAACTGGTTTATAGTTACCTGATGATTTTGATTTTTTGGTTTATTGTGATATTTTTCCTTATCTCTTATTCCTGCTATGAGTGAGACCATGGATGGAGCTGGAAGGGATCATGCTCAGTGAAATAAGCCAGAAAGAAAAAGAAAAATATTAGATGGTCTCACTCATAGCAGGAATTTAAAATTTGCTTATTTTTTTTTTATTTTTAATAATAAATTTTATTTTTATATTCCCAATTGCAGCCCCCCCATTCTGACCCCAATCTCTCCCCTCCCACCCCTGCCCCCCTAAAAGTGTCTCTGGTTCGTAGTTTTTTGTTGATTTTGATTTATTTAAGTTTTCTAGATTCCTGCTATGAGTGAGACCATCTGGTATTTTTCTTTTTGGCTTATTTCGCTGAGCATGATCCCTTCCAGTGCCATCCATGTTGCTGCAAATTGCATGTGTTTATCTTTTTTGAATGCTGAGTAATTTTTGAATGCTGAGTAATATTCCATGGTGTATATGTACCACATCTTCATGATCCAGTCATCTATTTTTGGGCATTTGGGTTGTTTCCAAAGCTTAGCTATTGTAAACAGAGCTGCTATAAACATAGGGGTGCAGGTGTTCTTTGGAATTGATGTTTCTGTGTCCTTTGGGTAAATACCTAGGAGTGGAATTGCTGGATCATATGGAAGCTCTAAGTTTAGTAGGTCAAGAAATCTCCACACATAAAATTTGCTTATTTCTTATTTTGTTTCTGTCAACTTACCTGTTGTCATTGGATTGTCCAGATGTGGCAACTAGACTTGAAGAGGTAATAAATGCAAAGTCACTTGTGGCTTTACTGTGGCACTGCCAACTCTATGGACAATAAAGTGCAAGTGATGTTATTTAAAAATCCAATAAAACCAGTACAGTATTTACAGTTCTATTAGTAATATACTATGTGCATGAGTTAGTTTTTAAAGTAGTCTAGAACAAGAATAAGTGATATAAGAGGATTGGCTGTCATTTGCATATCTTGATGCTAATATCCAATAATTTATGAATAAAAAGTTGCTGTTTTAGATTATGTAACAAAGGAATGGGATCTACAAGTACATGAACTCAGCCAAGCCATTCAGTTATATTTAGGGCCCAATCAATTTTAGTGCTCATGACCTCAACTGCATTTAGTAAACTTAACAAATCTCTTACATGCACATTTAGTCTTAAGCCCTTAAGATGCTGCAGTCTAAGTCAAATTAATTCCTACCTAAATACAAACATCCACCTTCCTTACCACCTCTGCTCCCAGATACTTACCCTGTAAAGAGATTAGCAGTAACAAGGTCAAAGTGGTCCTGCAAATAACCCACAGGTATAAGGCTGCCAAAGTGGGTCCTAACGATATTCCAGTACGGTAGGAAACCACTTTACTGAGCCATGCATGACTTTTGTTGGATCAGGTGGATGTCAGAATACTTTAAAGATGGACATTTTTCTATTTGGAGTTGTCATAAATAACTAATCATTTAAGGGTGATGTCTCATGAAGCCAGAAGTTCCATACAAGGTAGCATCACCTTCCATCCCAATTCTATCCATCACCAAATTCTTTGATTGGCATTAATTATTTTATAATCTAACAAGCAAAAATTTGGAGGAAATAATACACGGTACCTGTTTGGTTCTTAATATAGTATCTAAAATAAATCACTACAAAATTCTATCAAGATGTTAGGATACTTTTTTTTTTTTTTTGAAAACTAAGTATGACCACAGAGAGAAAGAGACCTTGAATTTTTTCCCAATATAATGGTCACCCTTCAAGCTATGAGAAACAAGCTCTGTTTTTTATGTCATTAAAACTAGGGCATTGATGGGAATGGTGTTGCTGGGCGGAAATGAATCTTCCCCCACAGAAGTACCAGTGAGAATGAGAAACAACACTGCATAAATAAAGTGGCATCTGTGTGTGCTCTGGGAATTCTGAGTAATACTTACCATGTAAGGTTTAGGGTTTGATGCAGTTTGGTTTACTTGCCAGATACTAAGAAAGCCCTCTCCGTCTGCAACACCGCACTGGAAGATGGGAAAATGTTAAACATAGCTATATGTTCCCATATCACTCAGTCCCCACCTCACTAGCATTCTGCCTGTATGTATTTTACAAGGAAATTCAAGGCTATGAATATCCTGTCACCTTTTAACTGCTTCCCCAAGCTTATTTCATGGTTTTCCGTTCAGCTACCTAATATTGTGTCAGAAAAGTCATGACACATTTTTGCTCGAAAAACAAGTCATTATGTGTCATGACTTTTCCGACAACCCAACAGAATTTAGTGAGAACCTGGAAGGTTTCTCTCAGGTGCTTCACTGTTTACAGATACCAACGCAAAAGAAACAGAATTCTTTACCCTCACAAAGTATTTAGTATCTTTAAAAAAATTTAGGGAATTTATGCTCTTATTGGAAAGTGAAGGATGGACGCCAATAAACTTTCTGCTCAGGTTAAGTCCAGAGCCACTGTATTTGTTTTTAGATGTAGTCTTACTAATGAGTTACTCAAATATTCACAATTATTTTCAGATGAATTAGCAATAACACCCACGAACTAACCTTGTTGCCTTGTGAATTAAAATACAATCTGGTAACTCTTGCATTGCCAGCTTGGCGGAAACAGACAAGTTGCTGAGGTCGTGTCCATTCAAACATTCGTACGCTACCATCCTGAGCACCTGTGAGATCTGAAACACAAGAGGCATGGTAGAAACTAAGAAATGGGGCCTCCCCTGGTGGTGCAGTGGTTGAGCGCTGGGCTGCGAAGCTGCCCACAGCCTCTGCAGCACCGGTTCGAGCCCAGGCGGTCTCTGCAGCGCCGGTTCGATCCCCGGCGCTGCCCACAGCCTCTGCAGCGCCGGTTCGATCCCCGGCGCGCCGGGGATCGAACCCCGGCTGCCGGCAAGGGTCCCACATGCAGACCTCTCCTGCTGCGCCCGCTGATCCCCTTAGCAGTGTATTTCGTCAGTCTGCCTGCTGTTCCCCGCTCTTGCTCTGATGAATCCTCTCATCCTCCCGCACTTCTGACTGTACCCAGTGCTTGTATAAATAAATAAAACTTTAAGGAAAATAAATGAAAAAGCTAAAGGAGTTCTGATATTTTCCATTCTATAAATCCTCAAAATGATAGCGGTTACTTAAAATACTTACAGTATTGATGAACTGGGTGTGAAGTCATTCTTTTAACATTATGTAGATTCCTTTTCATGAGCTAAAAAAAAAACAACACATTTTGTGCATGACAGAAAAGGATGTGCTTCAAGCCAACTCTAATTCTAGTAACATTTCTTTACAACTGGATCATTGCTGAAATAAATCCTGTTGATTTATTTGAATGACTTAACATATGACACTTGTCTTAACAGGTTACTGAGGCATATCCACTTACTGGTGCAGCCCTGGCCTCTGGACCATGAGAACCGCAGGCAGCTTTCTCTAGTGATAAAGGGACCTCTCCTCCAAGTGCCCCTCCCTGCGGATAATCAGAAGTATCTCCAGACTCTTCAAAGCAGAACATGAGAATAGGACCCCTTCAACTGCAATGGCTTACAAGAAACTATTGATGCACTTTTCTAATACTTACTATAGAGATGAATTTTTCCTTCATCTACTTTACTACTTTGTCCCTCTCAGTTTGCTCATTTATAAAATGATTATGAAGGATACTAATAGCACCCACCACCTACGCTTGTTTTCAGAAACAGTTTGCACCTGATAAAAGGAAACTCAGTCTATACATGCTTATTATTGTACTAACTGGTCACTGTCCTGCACCTTTAGGACTATTCCTATGTCAGAGTAACTTCAACTCATTTTTAAGGGAGTCCATATCCAGAAGTCATAGCTAATAGTAAACAACATACCACACTAGCTCCAGTGCTAGTCTGTCCACTGCCCAGCCATGGCAGAGAGGAAGGTGGGTGCACCTGACTCGTCGAATAGGATGTTGCACCGGGTTGATAAAGAGTTGTAGTAGAACCACGATAATCTATATCATCTGAACTGTAAAAGACGGTTTGTGTGTGTTAAGAGCAAATGGAACTTTCCCAGTAACACATTCCAATTACAGAGCTTCTTAGGTATCCACAAAGCAGTACTTTTAAAATGAACAAATAGCCGTGAGAAGTCAATAGATTACTACTGGTTAGAGTTTTCCCTCAACACTTATACAGTTAAGTGTTGTTCGGGGATAACTTTACTGCTGCACAAATTAGAATGCTTGTTCTTTTTATGATGGACTATATCATATTACATTGTTATAGCTACTCTAAAGTGTGATATTGAAACGTAGCTATATAGCAGCAAAACAGAACATTTAACAGAATAAGGAGAGAGGCTACCATGACATCATCTCCAAGTACATAAAATTTCCTTATCTGGAAAAAAGAAGGGATTATATGGAGAAGCCCCCAAACAAGACAGTATTGCAAAACTCTTATTGCAGTATCCAAGCTTTACTATAAAGTTGTCTACATTTTTATCTGTAAAAAGGGTATGTTTATAAGGAAATAATCAAGAAGAAACAATGAAAATTGTTCATTAAATGTGACTTACCAGTCTACTATTTGTGTATACTGCTTCTTGCTTTACTTATCCACAAAACTGAATTCACTGAATATTGTATAATTACTGATATTTTTTGGGTTAAATGCCAAGGTGGCAGTTGTCAGCATTAGGATTTGTCTGCATTAATCTTTGAAATCATTCTGATTCAAACACTGAGTTAGTGTTTGAATAAGTATTAGTACTCATACTTCTTCCATTAGACTCGGAAATAATCTTTTTCTTTTTTTACTTTTTTTCATAGTAGTGAGTCTCTTATTGGCAGCTAAATCAATTATTGTCTCCTACCCAAATGAAGGGCGAAAGATGTAATTTTCAGGATAAATCATGTTCATTTGAAAAAAATCATTTAAAATTGACTACGTAAGACAGACAAACCTTTTGGATTCTCTGTCAAATTCTTCTCCAATCCATATGTATGATTGACAGGCCAGAAGAGAAGTAACATCGAGTTCTTGTACATCATGAGTTGAAGCCAAAACAATTTCATTAGAGTTTGCCTATAACGGAGAGATAGGGTCAATAATTTAAAGAATTTCACTACAGTACATTCTTCATAATGATTAAAGCTTTTACCTTATTAACAGAAAATGCCATGATCATATCTGATTCCTTATGAATGATTTTTGCCTTTCCACCTGGATAGCCGAGATCAGCTTCAACCTATAAGACATTTGTCAGCAGTTTTAATTGTTGCAGCACAGCTCCATGTAGAGAACACACAATTCTTTAAAAGAATAAGAAAATACAGCAGCAACAGCAAAAATAAAAGCACCAGTAATTTAAGTGTGTTGAAAATCAGCTTTATAGTTAAGTTTTCTGATGCCCTGTAATCACCCAAATTATAAAGATATTCATTGTGATTATAGGAACTGACTGTCACAGAAGATAGCTAACATAGTTTTCAACAGTAGTCATGACAGTAATAATGTCTCGTTTCTTCTGAAAGTACACAAAGATTATGCGGTGAGAATATATATATATTTAGAGTAGGGGAGAGAGAGAAAGACAAAGGAGCCACAAATAAGATGGAACATTTTTAAATAAGGGTGATGAAAAGAATGAAGGAGATTGAGAGAGGAAGGTGCAATGGCCTAGGGTCAAAGGTGAAGGAAAAAAAGAACATTAAAAAGGAGGAACGATAAAACCACCATGTTTAAAAGCAGACTAGATAAAGGAACAGAAGTGAAGGCAGAACAAGAAGCAAGAAAAGAACCAATCACAATGATGAGTAGGCTAGACACAGTGCAGCATCCCCTGCCTTATGGTATTGAGCTATATGGGAGCACTGAGTACTCTAGTTAGCCAGCGGGCCAGTCAGGGTTAGTATTAGAGATGAAGGGTTATTTCTTGATTTCAAAGAATGAGCTTGGAATACTACCTTGATGTGGCAATCTTCTGCTATGGAGATGTGTTTGACCTGCTCCACATGTTCTTCTACAGACTAAATACCACCACACCATCATAAACACAAGACACATGCATGAAACAAAATTATAAAGAGAATGAAAATTTAAACTGAAAATGGGCATCCCATGACTTAAAGATGATAAAAATGAATCTTGCAAGCTTTCCTTTCAAAAGCACATCAAGAAAGAAATTAAATTAAAATGTTAGATAAATCAACACAAAAGCAGACAAAATAAATGCTACTGTGACTATTACATATATAAATACTATTGTAAAAATATTTGTACCCCAGTTATATAGCCTAAAGTTCTGACTTAAACCATAAACTCGAAAATCTACTTGTACAAGCAAATATTATATACTATGCAGATTCCTATTTTATAGGGGCCTATTTAAAATGCAAATTAAAATTATAATTACAGACTAAAAATACTGATAATTATTTCACTCTTACTCATAAGGAATGTATCCATGAAAATGGATCAGAATTCACATCAACCATTTACTAAGATCACATAATTTTTCTCCTTTTAGATAAATAAATGTTTGATGAAAGGAACCATGGGAAAGAGATCACACAGATAACCTGCTCTTGGTCAATGACAGAGTCATCAGGAATGACTACAATCAAAAGTAATAAATCTGCTCTGCTGTGGAAACCTCTGAGGTTTTATCAGAAAAATATACTTTCCTGCTACCTCTTGAAGTGAGTTTCACTGTCAGTCAAAAGGGTCAAATTCCCTGACCAGGCCTTCAGTGACTGCTCTGACGCTGCTGCAGCTGACTATAAAGGAATGGTACATGTGTCCAAGGGTTGAATGGTTAAAAACCAAACTGCTGGAAACCCTTTTTGCCTTTAATCAATTGTAAAGTTTGTCACATTTACCAATTTCATAAAAACTTGTTCTATAGACTATTCTTCTTTAACATAGTCAATGAATAAAAGTATCTGCTTATGAATGTATCTAAAATGTCAGCATTTCTTAGGAGAATTTTAAGTGATTTTAACCAACATTGATGGAAAATCATAGGGCATTTCTCAAAATATTAAAATAGTCCCAAAATATGGGTTACCATATGACCCAGCAATTCTCCTACATAACTACCCTAGGAACGCAGAAACACTAATTTAAAGGGCGAGGTGCATTACTATGTTCACTGCAGCACTATTTACAATAGCCAAGTTATGGCAAGAACCTAATTGTCCAAAGACAGAAGAGTAGATCAAAAAATGTGATGCATAACACACACACTTAATAAATCACTACTCGGCTATAAAAAAAAAAAAAAGTTGAATTCTTGCCATTTGTGATAACATGGAAGGAATGAGAGGATAATCCTAAGCAAAATAAGTCAGAAGGAGAAAGAGAAATACCAGATGCTTTCACTTATAAGTGGAATATAGAGAAACAAAATAAAGGGTTAGACAAAACTAAACCAATAACAAACCCTTGGCAACTAACTGCAAAACTGAGGCAACCAGAAGGGCAGGGATTGGGCCCCAGGGAGCATAGTGGTGGGCATGGTGTGAAAACATACATTTGCAGAGGTGTGAACTGAGAGCCCCTAAAACAAATACAATGATGTAAACCAACTTTACCTCAATGAATATAATTGGAGGGGGAAAAATTTTTAAAAATCAACCAACACTTTGAAATTTTTAAAATGAGTTCCCCAATGTTACTAATTAGTCAATTTATTTATGCAACACAATCTCTGCCTCATTTTGTAAAAACATTCTTTCTTCTTCATGTATTTGGCATTTCTGTGGTATTTTTCTTTCAAAACTGATCCTGAAATTTAAAGTTTACCCTTTTCTAAAGTTTAGGTTCTTCCATTTCTAAATGCTAAATAAAATGCTTTTTTAAAGGCTATATATTACTTTCAATTAAATGTTATCCAAAGAATAGTACCATGTTAAGTTCCATAAACCACCCATCATATTGTTTATTACATTTGAAAGCCCACTGACAAATATTATAAAGGAAACACCATGTTTTACTTGACTGTGTGTGATTTATCGTGGGAACTATGTCATTTCACTTCTATGAAATGAAAATTACAAGAAATTCACTGTAGTTTAGAGTTACCCATGATATATGAAAGATAATAAAATAAGCTCCAATCAAAACTTCATTAAAATATTAATGAAAACCAAAAAATACAACAGAAATTATTTTTCAAAATACCTCACTCTGCTTTCTTTTCTTAGTGAAAATATATCTAATAAATGTCTCTTGAAGGACTTCTTGTTTAACAAGAAAATGCCAAAGCCGCTTTACTGGAAGTGCAGAAGAATCCCGAGATCTATTAAAAAAATTAACATATCACATGATTTTAGTCTATAGAAAATGTGTTTCACATTTACAGGTAAAGAAAAACCTTCATTAGCTATTGTAAAGAAGACAATAATAACATTAAGCAACAAAATTTTACATTTTTCCCCTTTAATTTTTAGTGAAGTCTTCTAAACATTCCTTCATCCAGCAAATCTATAATTACAGTTTCTCTAAATGAACAGGTCGAGCTAAGAGTTAAATAAATTTCTCATTTTCTTTTAAAATTATATTGCAGGTTGCTTTTGTTGGATAAAGCATATTACTAATGAATAAAAAGTTACAGGTTTCATTTTAATATGCATTAAAATAAGCTAAAAAGTTGTGTTCTTTCAAGCTTAAAGCAATACTCTTATCCATGGTCAGATGCTTCAAAAAACACAAATATGCTGCTTATCAAAAAGGGTGTAGATGGAGGCGCGCAGACCTCTCCTGCTGCCGCTGCTCCCCTCAGCAGTGTACTTCGGTCCTTCTGCCTGCTCTGCTCCCTGCTCTGGCTCTGGTGAGTTCTCTCACCCTTCCGTGCTTCTGACTGTACCCAGTGCTTGTATAAATAAATAAATAAATCTTAAAAAAAAAAAAAAAGGTGTAGATGGAAAGACGATCAAAACATCAATAAAAAAAATCACAGTATGTTTACTATTAAATTACTCCAAAAATTTCTGTAAGAGTTCTTAAAATAACAAAAATATAATAAAAGGGCTTTCCCTGATCATAAAATATGTCTACTAAATTATGGATAATACTGAAAAAGTTTTCTATCCATATTCTGTTTTCTTTAGAGGGATGTAGAAATAAGAATGAAGTCTCAGTGTTTTGAGGACTACTGGCATATCTTGCCAAACTGTCTTCTAGGAAGGTTCAACTGAGCTATACACTCAGCAGCATTATGAATGTTCTTACTTGAATGGGGTATTTTCAGGTTCTAGCATTGCTTTATTTCGAAGAAGAGCTGGTCCAGTTCCTACTGAAAGGTCAGTTGGGTATGTGTTGATATAGTTAGGAGGTGGGCCTTCATATTGATCCATTTTCTCTTGCAAGATCTGTTCCCAGTTCTCCAAGTTTTTAACAACAGCAATGCCTAATGGTGATGTTACAGGCAACTCTAAAAGGTGATAGAATATGTCATTTTATTTTGATAAAAAAATGTTGGTAATCATACACATACTTAGGAAATCAAATTTAGATCCAGTGC